AATACTAAAGTTAAAAATGTCACAAAGGTGCTGCTTTTACAGGGAAGCTTATTCTGTTTTGAATATTGAAAAGTTGTGCTCTGATCAGTTAATTTGTATGTAGCAGTGTATACTCTCATATACAATTACTGACCTATGCTTTAAAACACAACGCTTTGTTATAGATCCAAGCTGTCCATTTCTCTGATGGGTTTGAATAAAGTATTCCCTGTCTTAAATGAATTCAGTCTTGTGTTTTCTATTTGGGGGTCTGATATTCATGTATTTAGTTCTGAGAAAGGATAACTGTTGACTGTGGTTTATACATGTTCTATAAAGTGACCTGTTTTTTTATTTTAAATTTTAGTGTAGGGGCACCTGGGTGGCGCAGTCGGTTAAGTGTCTGACTTCAGCCAGGTCACGATCTCGCGGTCCATGAGTTTGAGCCCCGCGTCGGGCTCTGGGCTGATGGCTCAGAGCCTGGAGCCTGTTTCCGATTCTGTGTCTCCCTCTCTCTGCCCCTCCCCCGTTCATGCTCTGTCTCTCTCTGTCCCAAAAATAAATAAACGTTGAAAAAAAAAATTTTTAATTTTAGTGTATTATAAAACTTATTCATTAAATACAAAATAACTAAAAATTACCATTATCCATGCAATTCTTAGTTTTCACTCCACTATATGTTAGTTAAACTGCTAGTACTCTTTAGAATTGGTATTTACTAATACACAGCCAAAGGTCTGGTTGCCTGCCAAGTCTCATACGACCCACATGAAATGATGAATATTCCAAATACATTATGTCTTAAGCTTATTTTCATGCATTCTCATCTTGGCTTGTGTCTAGTGCTGTCAGGCTTCCTCTTCTCTGGGTTCTCAGAAGTTTGCTTTCCTGGCAATTGCTCCCTTGTTCTCTACTTTCTTCTTTCCAAACTTATTTTCAGCTAAATGTCACAGTGGAAAAGCCTGATAAATGTATTCACTCTAATGTGTTAATTATATATCTTAATTTTAGCTTCCAAGTATATTATGTAAATTGGGCCAATAACTTCAAAGAACAAAACTAATAGTGCAGTTGTAGGAACCAGCACCAACATAGGGAGAGGAACAATTCTGGACCAATGGTTTCTTCAACAATAGAGTTCAGCTGCCAGTCCAACTGAACAAAAAGACCCAAGAATAGCAAATTGTCTTGTACCATCACATTATCTTGTTCTACAATAATAGTTGTAATGAAATGATTTTTTGGTATTAACAGCTTATTTGATCTATTTTTCCTTTGACACTGCCAACAAGGGGGTGTAACACAAATATATATATATATATATATATATATATATATATATATATATATATAATATGTTACATATATATATTAATTTTGAGCGAGAGAGAGAGCACTAGCAGGGGAGGGGGCAGAGGGAGAGACAGAACCTTAAGGAGACTCCGTGCTCAGCACAAAGCCCAATGTGGGGCTCCATCCCATGATCTTGGGATCATTACCTGAGCCAAAATCAAGAGTCAGACGCTCAACTGACTAAGCCACACAGGCGCCCCTAATACTACTATAGTTCCCGGAATCTGAGTTTAATGTAAGTTAGTGGAAATAATGAAAAATAAGAAATAAGCCGAAATCAACTAGTTTTAAAGCCAATCCAATAGTGCTCAGCAGTTTTAACTAGAAGCCAATGTGTATAGATTTGGAAGAAAAAAAAGTAAAAGGCTTCGCTTATTTGAATAAAAAACAATGTGAAAACTAGATCAAATGTAAATTTTTAATATGCATTCCCAGCACCTAGCAAAATATAAGGAACATGGTAATGTATGTACAATGATTATTGGCTGAATGAGTATAGTGTAGGGTAAAAGAGATAAAACTATAAAATTTAAAAATCCCTATAATCTTAATTTTTATGGCAAATGACAGTATGAATTTATTATATATGTTCTATTATGAAAGAAAAAATTCCATAATTTTGCCCACTGAAAAGGCCTAGGACCAATTTAGGAATGAGCATCCCTACCACTCAGATGGTGGTCTCTAAATACTATTTTCTACTAAAAGGAATCAATGTTTAGAGATGTTCAAGCCTGGAGAAGAAAATATACAAACTCAGCCCCAAATAATTTCTCATTCCAGAAACTGAGGAAGATATCAAAGACTCAAAGTCATATCAAAAGGATACAGGAGTCAAGTAGAAAGGACTCTCATAGATGGTACAATGTAAGCATTGAAAATAATAGTGACTGCAGTGGGTTGAATCATAAAAAATATGTTAAAACCCATGAGCTCATGATATTTTTTGCGTGATTTACTTTTTATTTGAGAGAGAGAGAGTGCCTGAGTGGGGGAGAGGGGCAGAGGGAGACAGAGAGAATCTTAAGCAGATTCCACACTCAGCACAGCCCAACTCGGTGCTCGATCCCATGACCCTGGGATCATGACCTGAGCTGAAACCAAGAGTGGGGCGTTCAACCTAGGCACCCCTATTTTCTGTGTGATTGAAAAAACAATTGGGGGTGTCTGGGTGGCTCAGTCAGTTAAGCGTCTAACTTCAGCTCAGGTCATGATCTCACAGTGAGTCTGAGCTCTGCATCAGGCTCTCTGCTGTCAGCACAGCACTTCAAATGCTCTGTCTCCCTCTCTCTCTGCCTCTCCCCTGATCTCTCTCTCTCAAAAACAAATAAACATTAAAAAAAAATTTTTAAACAATTAATGGGCCCCTGGGTGGCTCAGTTGGTTAAGCCCCTGGTTCTTGATTTTGGCTCAAGTCATGATCTCACGGTTGGTGGGATTGAGCTCTCTGTCAGGCTCCATACTCGAAGTGTGGAGCCTGCTTGGGATTTCTCTCTCTCTCTCTCTCTCTCTCTCTCTCTCTCTCTCTCATCCTCCCCTGTTCATGCTCTCTCTGTCTCTCTTAAAATAAATACACATTTAAAAAAATATGAAGACAGTATGGCAGTTCCTAAAAAAAAAAATTATAGAATTACTATATGATCTAAGAATTCCACTTCTGGATATATACCCAAAAGAATTTAAAGCAATGATTCAGACAGATATTTGTGTACCTGTGTCATATCAGCTTTATTCACAAGAGCCAAAAGATGGAAGCAACCCTAAAGTCCATTGATGGATGAATGGATAAACAAAATGTAGTATATACATACAATATAATATTATTCAGCCTTAAAAAAAATGAAATTCTGACACATACTCCAAATGGATAAACTTTGAAAACATGAAGCTTAGTGAAATAAGTCAGACACAAAAGGACAAATATTTTCTGATCCTACTTGTATGAGTTAACTACAACAATCAAATTCAGAGAGACAGAAAGTAGAATGGTGGTTACCAGGAGCTAAGGGGAAGAATATAATAGGAATTGTTTTTTAATTTTTTTAAGTTTATTTATTTATCTTGAGAGAGAAAGAGAGAGCTGAGGGAGGGGCAGAGAGAGAGAGAGAGAGAAGCAGAGAGAGAATCCGAATCCCAAGCAGGCTCTGAGCTGCACAGAGCCCAACGCAGGGCTCAAATTCACGTACGGTGAGATCATGACCTAAGCCAAAACCAAGAGTCAGGCGCTTAACTGACTGAACAATCCAGGTGCCCCAGAAATTTTTCTTTTTTAAGTTTATTTATTTTGAGAGGCGATGGGAGGAGAGGGGCAAAGATATAGGGAGAGACAGAATCCCTAGCAGGCTCTAAGCTGTCAGCATAGAGCTTGACTCTGGACTCGTCCTCACGAACCATGAGATCATGACCTGAGCCGAAATCAAGAGTTGGACACTTAACTGACAGAATCAACCAGGCGCCCCAATAGGAAGTTATTACTAAAGAGATACAGAGTTTCAGTTTGCAATGACAAAAAAGTTCTGGGGGTACCCGACTGGTTCAGTCAGAAGAGCCTGCAACTCTTGATCTTGG